CACAAATTTGATTATTTCATTATCTGACCATTTAATTATTTAGTATTTTCCTATAATTTCTTTGGTTCTCAAGGCAAACTAGAATTTTCATGAAGGCAGATATTACTACCATGCATCCTTACCTCCCCTCATTGTTGGACCTTACTATAAGTGTGTAATTCAATAAAATTTAATTTTTATGTCTGAAAATTGATAATCTTGGTTAAATGGAAGAGTCTGTGATATGATTCCCAGAAAGGGTAAAAGTAAGGGATAGGAGGCACAGGTCTAGAGGAACAAAGTAACTTGTAGTTATAGCTGTCAACATTTCATTGAGAATCATCATTCCTGGGTATTCAATGTCCAAATAGAGGAAATACCTAGTCCCATCCCTTGTTGCTTCATAAAATGAATTTCTGTCCAGATATGTGTAGTCTGAACTCAAGAAAATCAGTTACATAAACCACACACGAGATTACAAAGCACATTTCTTCTATATTACCTTTTAGCTGTTTCAGACTGTAATTTCTGAAAGATTCATTCAGATTATTTTTACATTATAAAAAAATCTATACCTTAATTTATATTTTCTTCTTGAATAATGATACCCATCTGTATTTTATTTTTTCTTATGATTCCATTGACTTTAAATATGAAATAATTTCTTTCTAAAATTTTAGATAAAATGTTTTCCTCTTATTGCTTGAAGGCATTCATATCCTGTGTACAACTTCTCAATATCATTCCTTGTGGACCCTTGGTATTACTACAAATCAAAAAAATTAAAAAGAAAATATAACATTATGTGGAAAAATATATATATTTAAAATATTCATTGTGGGTACAATGAGAATCATATGGAACTAAATGCCTACTTTCAAAAGTATAAATATCGTGAAATCCTTTAAACCTAGCATATGTTTCTTCGAATAAGACTCAGTTTTGAACAGATGTCCCCTTAGACCTGTTATATTAAGACTAAAATTACTAAATCAGCATTAGTTGTTTTTAAATTTAGGGCCATATTTTGCCACTGATTTTTATTCAAAGCTCCCACGGGCGTCAGTGGAAGATCCATGCATGGAGAAATGGCATAATATGTATCCTAGTTTTATTTATTTCATATGTATACAGCAGTATAAAATAATATATTACATTTACACTCATTTTACTTATGTATTATTATAGCATTCACAGTAACAAACACTATAGTTAAGATTTAAACTCATCTTTTGTTATAATACCCTGTTTTCACTCACAGATAACTGTCTCAAAAATGTGTTTAGAAGTGAAATTCCCTGCTTACTTTCAGCTCTATGATGTACGGCTATATTGGAAGTCTGAGTTCTGTCATTCAGATATTTTTGAGTCTCATGTGAAATTTTAATATTTGCATCGTTAATGCAAAATTTTCATGCAACTCAAAAACATCTGGAGTGTAAAACTTCAAACTAAGCATGTGACAGATTTTCAAGAAATAAAAGTCATTTTTCTAATTTTACAAATACTTAAAAAATAACAGTGTTTAGAAATACATGCATGCACACTAAAGGTATTAGAATTTTAGTCATATTATTGCCTGCAATACTCTGGCGGCACCCATCTACCAGCATCCTCATAGAATGCTATAATCTAAAACCTATGCCAAGTTTTAGAAGAAAAAAAATACTCTATTGAACAGTAGTTTCACAAATTACTGTATAAGGATTTTGTTCGACCTAGCAGAGGGAAATTCCTGGAAGAGCTAACAATATATAAAATAATTTTACTACTCCATGGCATAAAAAATATGGAATTTTGTCATTTTCTGTTTTTCCTTGTTAAAAAGGAACATAAAAAGGATGTTAAGTGCAAAGCCTTTACCACTACAAAATTGGAGTTGAAAAAGATAAAGAACCCAAGAAACTGTAATATGAAAAATACAGGATTTTCAGAAAAATTATCAAGTATACCAATGTTTTAAATATTTTTGACTTCCTCGGGTATTAAAAGCACACATAGAAATATGACGGTGGAGAAAGAAAACCACATGAAATGACAATTAACAGTGCTCTTATCAGTCAGTACCGTAATTTTCTTTATCCTGCCTAACATTTGCAACATTCTGAGTAATTGTATTAAATATTACATTTACTCCAGCAAATAATTTTTGTAAGGTGAAATGGTACAATGCCTATACAATTATTAAAGTTTTTGTTGAGAATTGTGAGGATTTTTGTTCCTCCTCTTGTTGGAGAAGTAGGAGAGTTTCTACATTACAAATCTGATGACAAATGATAACACTATTAAGAAATGAAGCAAGAGGATGAGTAATTAAAATATTTAAATCTTCTACTGTAGTACTTAATTTGCAATGTTTGATAAAGGCATTGCATTTAATATCTTCAAAAAACAGAATATACATGTTTCCTTTATATTTCCCAAGAAAGATGATACACTTATAGTGACACCATTATATCTGTTAAGTAATTCTGATGTGATATTTAAATATTAGATTTAAAATGATTTCACAGAATTATGTTCACAAGGTAAAAATTAGAATTTTACATGTGGATAAAATATCTCTAAAAATTGTCTTTTGACATACCTTTGAAACATTAAGACACTGTTTCCACAGGAAATTATTTTGACATTTTTACTACTCTAAAACTAACCATGTTATCAAGGAGTAAATATCATGATTATTCATTTTGGAAATAATTAATTGATGAAATATTGTCTAATAATTTAGATATTATTTTCCTCTGATAAGTATAAATGATGTAAGATTGGATATTAGGATGACTAGATTAGACAAAAAATTAATCTAAAATTCCTTTCCGTGCTAATCTAATAAATGCTTACTTGGAAACCTTTGTTATTAGTGGATTGCATTTTTCTGTTTCATAGTCCCCCCATCGGGGGTAGAGCTCAGTGGTAGAACATTTGACTGCATAGTCCCCCCATCAATTGGTAGATAACATTTTAGCCAATTTGCTAAAATTATATCCTTACTCTATTGTAACTTCTGATTTATTCTGGATGCAATAGATAATTGATTAATAACTAAACATTTAGTATTTTGTTTTAAATATTTTTCTCACAAATTAGGTAAAATTTCCTTGTTTTTTCTTGTTGTTTGTTTTTATAGATTAATGATATAATTTTAAAACTTAAATACAAATTAGAAGAACTCTTACTATGACATAAAAAAACTAATGCATAAATATATGGCATAAGAAGTTTGTTCAAGGGAGATTACATACAATGACATAAAGGGCTAAATAAATAAAAAAAACTTTCTTAAGGTTGAATGAATGAATATAACCGTAATATATGAAGTGAGTATATCCTCATTTTTAATGCATGTGATAAGGTAGATGGATGTGTGTTTTCCCCCCTAATTGTAAAAGAATGAAAGGTTTTAATTAAAGCAGAGTGATTCAACAAGAAAATCATTTTCTTGTTTAAAAAGCAATTACAACAAATAGACGCTTTTCCAGCTAAATTATATAGAAACATATCCTTACTAAAATAGTCTATCATTCAAAATATTAACGTAGTAGTGCCCAAAGTTTGAGAAAATGTTACTGCTGCACTGACGTGAATGCGTGTGCTTTTTGTGTCATATGTGATGGATTAGGTTTATATATTTTTCAAGGGTCCCCAAAAGGCTGGAACATTATACATATTATTTCAATAGATAAAATGATTGGGATTATGACATATTAATATCTATAATTTGATAACAGTCAAATGAGTGATGCCGGAAGCCACTCAAATATATACATATCAAGGACATATAAATATGTGTATGCATTTTAATGTTAAATCGAAGGAAAATAATTCCTATTTAAATGACCATAAAATTGGATGGGGAACATTTGTTATGTGTTAAATTTTAGTCTGTTCTTTAATAATACAGCACAGCTCAAACTATTGCTGAATTCATAAGATCAGTTGACAATTAAGGTAAATATTGCCAAATTGATCTGTAATTTGGATTGGGCAAACATTCAGATATGTTGAAGGCTTTTTTAGAGGGGAGCTATGAGAATTCTGTTTTTTGCTAAGAAGATTATCTCACATTCTCCAATTTGTCTCTCTTAATTTCTCTCTTAGTTAAGCAATAAACAACAGCAGGAAAAAAAAGAAAAACATGTACAAGAAAGGAAAATACACCTTAATGAATTTAATAATTAACTTCATCGACCTGAAAATAAGAGTCAAGCTTAATCTTTCAAGGCTGACTCAGGAAGAATTTTTCTCATTAATAAAACACTGACTATATTTAAGCTATAAAACTCTCGCATGTGAGATAATACTAAAACAATAACATACCATGTTTCTATCTCCAAATTTATTTAATTTATTTTAAATTTAGAGATCCCTTATATCTTACAGTTACTCTTTACCAGTTCAGATATTGATATATCTCTATATATTCATATAGAGTTATAAATAGATTTTATATTCATGTGTTATTAGGAGTCACAAAACTATGTAAAACTATGTAAAATAAAATTCTGTGTGAGTTCTATGGTTGAGGACTTCTTAAAATATTATTCTCAATGACGTATTTTACATCACAAAATGTACAGACACCCAGTGTTTGTTTTTGTTTTTTTCTAACAACAAATACAGGTGAATTTATAGATTCCTTATAAAAGCTTTAAATGATTCTAAATTCAAAGCCATAGAAATAGAATCGAAAGAATGTAGATTGTTAGAGATTTTGATATTACATGTTCAGTGCTCTTCTGATAAAATCGACAGCTATATCTTTGGCATTGAAAATTCAGTACGAGTTCTTGACAAAATTTTGTAGCTTAGAGCTTCATTTTCTTTTCAACAAGGAAAAACAGGGTTGAATAAGATATGAAAATTGGGAGGAAGTTATTAATGATTTTTTTTTTCTTAGTAAGTTTATCTTTGGGACCCTGAATTACCTTTTACTTTACTGTATAATGTGGACTGTATGAATCCATTTAAAAACCAACTGAGTTGTACCACATTTTAGGAAAATTATATAATATAATATATATATTTTATATTTATTTAGAAGCTTTGAAATAGTACAGTAAACACTTTGCAACACGGTGTATAAACTACAGAATGTCTTTGATATTTTGTGGGTCTTCAGAATACAACATTTTTTAGAACCCACAGGTGAAAAGAACATAATCACAATCTCTCTTGTAAAGTTGGAATAGTTTGGGGAACACTTGATCACACAAAAATAATATAAAACAGTCAAGTTTAAAACAGTGATATTGCATTTATAATGCACAAATTTCCTTTATCTTTATGACTGGCTTCTCGTGGTGAATATAAACATCTAAAGGGCTCAGTGACATTTGGAGAGAGAAAGATATATAGTGCTGTAAACAGGCACACACTGATCGGAGAGGCAAAATCAGTTGCCTCTAAAGTTTCTACAGTTCTGCACATTTCAACTCATTTCTCAGGCCTGCTGAGAGCAATTAGGTCCTATAATTGGCCACGACGACTCCGCCGGCAATCTAAAACTCAGTTACACACAACTAACTGGATGGCCAAGATAATGAAGTTGAAAAGTTGATGCTTTTGTTGGTCGACTTTGTGCAAATCATGCTGCTTCAGGTAAATCCTGTAGAATTGACTAGCATATCCTTTTCCGTGCTGTGAAAAAGAAAGAAAAATACTCTAAGAAAAGGAGCCTGGGTTTTGGAGTTTAGAATTGCATGTCATTTTAAAAAGAAACAAATACAGTTGGAAATAAGTTGTGTCCCTATACCAGACCCATGTAGTGTCAAAATATTTCAGTGATGACCTTGGTTTCTAATAGTTATAGAGAAAAGTTGCTCTGGTGCTTGGCTTCCTAAAAATTACAATTTTGATATTTTGAAAAATCAGTTTCACGTGGGAGATGTATACATATGTACCAACCACGAGTAATGTGGAGACTAACCTTTTAAAGGGACATAGAAAACAATCCCTACTTCACTACTTATGCAGGATCAGAGTATAGGAAAAAATGTGTGGTCCTTAAACATTCTAGAACAATCCTTTATAATATCTATGAGCAACTGGTTATACGTCTAGTTTAATAAATTCTAAATTATATATATATATAAAATCAATATATAATACAGAAAACTGTACCAGAAAATATTTATGTAATTAAAAAGTTAAAGGGTGCTTCACATTTTCTAGGTTTACTTTATCTCATCTTTGAAATTACGCAAAAACCAAATCTTTTTATGTCTACAAAATAAAAAAAAAATCTAAATGTGTCCCCTAAAAGGAATCAGTTTTCTTATAAGGAAGGTAAAGGTGAAAAGAGAAAAAGATATTGAATTTGGCCCAGTCTTATACAATGTATTGAATTATGAAGTAGAATTTCTAAATTCAATCATTTAGGTTTTATGATTTTAAGTATTTTATTTATTTATAATGATAATGGTTATTTCTTCCCACCTATCAATAATCTTTATATTTGGCAATGAGCACAATCAGAACAGAAACTGTACCCCTAGGTCAGTATCTGACACATAATAGATATATGATAAAAAGGTACTGAAAATTGTGCACAATTGTGATAAAAGGCAATTTGGTTGTGTAAAATCAACTATAACAAAATTAGAGAGAGAGAGAGAGAGAGAATTAAAAATTAAGAACTACTCTAAATAGCATAACTGAATTGTTTCAATCTGTGAATAGTTGGATTTTTTTTGTTTGTTTTCGGGCTTTCTTTACACAAATAGAACATACTGGTCAGTTCAATTCCTCGTCTATGGTATTTTTCCATTAATTTCAAGTAGATTATCTGGTTATATATTTTTCTTAATTTATTTCCCTGATTCTCTCATTTATTTCTACTCACAAGCTCAGTTTGTGACCAACCAACCTAAGATTTCTTCCTTAGGCCACGGTTTAACAGACACATCAATTAAAATTGTAAAAGTCAGGCACCGCCATTGACAGAAATAAAGTTGAAAAGGAATGTATACATGTACTGTGTAGTAACTAGTATTGAAAACAATCAAAACATATTTTGTTTTGTAATAATATATAACAACATGAATTATAAAATGAGTTAACTCTAACGCAGGACTACATGGTAGTTATTATAACTTACCTGGTCATAATGCTACAGAGAATATTCTATAAAAGCAAATAGAAATTTGGTCTTTTTAAATAATCAAATCCTATTTTCCTATATTGTTGAATTCAAATTCCCTGTTTCATGAGAAACTTCAGTATATCTGATTTAAATATATTTGGTTTATACCAATCGGAATTTAAAATTCTTCAGTAAATTCAAATAATTAAGCACCGTAGTAATTCAGGTTCATAAAATGAATTGGACAAATAATTACAGTGACCAAATAATTTATTGTTCAACCTGAAAAATTGTATGAGTAAGAGGGAACACTATCAATAATTACATAAGACATAATCTTGTGCTTTCTTGGACAGGAAATATGAACACCCCATAAACAATACCACTTTTCTCAAATTAAGTTAGAGATATTACTTACAGGATGAAGTTTCTTTCTTAAAATACTCATTTAGAGGAAACTAATTTATAGGAAACATCTCGAACACTTATAGTTCGAGGACAAAAGAAACTCAAGAGTGACCTATCCTCAACCTATAATTTATTATGTGCAAAAATTAATATGCTGAAAAGCTACATCTTAGTATAATGCAGAAATAAGTCAACCTGATACATATTTAAATCAGTAAAATATTTCTAATTAGGTTAAAAGATTACTTATGGGAAAAGCTATTAGCATGGATAGGATATGTTCCTTTGATTCAGTCAAAATACAAAAAGAAATTGTATTATTAAAATAGTTCAGAGTTTTAAGAACACAGAAGTTTAGCACACTTTATACTTGATATCTTAAAATCTAAACACAAGCTTAAATGCATATTTTAATTACCGCCTAGAGTTACGGGTGTGCTGCTTTTATTTAAAGTGCACCTCTTCCAGCAGTTGTATGAATAAAATAATCGCCTTTTATTAAATTATCTTCTCCCACCTATCTGTTAATTCAGAAATGCAAATCTGAATGGGACAGGTGTTAAGGGCTCAGGTTGAAGGTCAGAACAAAGTAGGACGAGGAGGAAAGATTTCCTCCATTTCCAAAGCAAATTCACAAATGTGAAGTACGACCAGACAAACTAGAGGAAATGAAATATTACTACTAAGTCAGAGTCACAAACATTTTGTTTCAAGGCTTTTTAGAGATAGTTTGAATACTGAATACTCATTATCTTTGGGGGCTGTCTGGGTTAATGTTGGACAAGTAGCACACAAATATATATATATATATATGAAAAAGCAATGTTACTACATTTTAGAGTCAGTGCCAAGGTGCACAGTGTTAACTGTTAAGTCTATGCATTTGCTGAAGCATTTCAGGCTCGAGAGAATGGGTCAAATACATTGAATCTCTATGCTTTACGATGTATTCTACATATGTTTCAGAATTATGAAAGCATACTTGAAAATTTTCTGCTTTTTCTTTTCAATTCACAAATGCATTTTTCCCCCTAGTTATTCATCAGCATAGGTAGGGAATTGGTCACTTGATAGAGATGAAAGATTTTCTTTTCAGTCAAATCTAAATAATAGGAAAAGGACTGTTAGTATTTCTTTTTACTTCTACTTATTCATTCACTGCCTTTATTCTTCATAGTGAATCACAGAAATCTCACATTTAAGACATTTATCTCATTGTCTGAACTATGGATGAAAAAATCACTCTTAAGGGAAAAGAGATATTCAAATATTTACTTTTTATAGTTTAACACATATATGTGTGTATATATTTAACACATATGTATGCATACATTTAACATATTTTTTGATGGAAGTTCCAGGATGCGTATTTTTCCTCATATTGTGGAATCATGTAATTGCCTTTGATAATTTGTAAAGTATGATATTAAACTTTGGGACATTTACAAATTCTGTTTGATGACTATAAGCATGTATGTTGCAAAAATAATTGTATAAATATCAGTACTGATATCCTATTTATACCATGTATAATAGTATAATTAGCTTGGTGAAAAATAATTTGGTATAATATATTAAAATGACATTGTAATAATTTGACTATTCACATTTCTATACTTGCATTACAGGAAGCAAAATACCCTTCATACTTTATGACAGTATGAACCACAGGAGCTAAAGAAATATATAAACATATGAAGTGACCTAACCTTATTTCTGTGACTGAAAGAAAGAACAGCCTTCAAATATCCCAGATGACTGAGACTCCATAGCAGTGAAACACTTCCAGAGGCTGAGATCAGTAACCTACTCCAGAGCACACTCAAATGTTTAAGGAGCCTCCCAATCAGGACACTTCTTTATATGTAAAGTGAATTTAGCAGACAAGAGTTAAAGCCCATTACCCTTTACAGAAGTCAGAAACACCTGCCCTCTGTTCCCTGAGTAAAAACGTATCAGAAACTGAAAGATCGTTTAAAAGCAAGCCTCCATTAGAGATCTGTCCAGTTGAATAATCAATTCTTTTAACTTTCCTCTATCTTATTCTTCAGCCATTTTTGAGGATTCTCTTTCAAAATCTTGCTATTTTTTTTTTCTGTTTAACTGTAAAGTCCAGCAATGAGTATAGTAGTGGTAACTATTAAATATGGGTTGCTGCTTGATTTGTCTTTTATCTTCCCCCCCCTGAACAGTATTAGATTTGTTTTTATATTTTAAAATATAATTGTACATGGTTCATATTGTAAATGTTTTCCTTTTCACAAAAAAAATGGCAGGTTTTAAATTTTAAGTTATATATAATGAAAAAACTGATTGAGCACTGTAATTTATTATGAATTATAAAAAGACTGAAAGCCTATTAATATATATTGTCTTTTGTCCAATAATACTAGCTTAGTACAGCATGAACTTGAATTCTTACATTTATTTCATAATATGCACAACATCCTCATGCTAAATTTTGTTTTTTCCTCTCATCAAACAAAATGCTTTTTATCCTATCTTGACAGAGTTAAGGGATTATAGAATATATCTAGAAAACAAGAGTTCATCTGGAGAAAGTGGCTCTCATATATAAACTTGATTAGTCTTTTAGAAAGAAAACTTTGTGAAATAAATGACTCAAACAATCCTTTAGAACATTCATGCCAGAAATATATAATAAAGCCAAGGGTTCAGTTTATATGTGTATGTAATGATTACAATGTAATTTGCAATTAATAAATATTTGTAAAAAAAGATAAATTCATGTGCTCGCTTCGGCAGCACATATACTAAAAAAAGATAAATTCATGGGTATTTGAAGAGGTAAGAAATTGGTGAGCGTAGTTTTGTGGTAGAGAAATTGACATCAATGAATGAGTAAAATGGATCTTTTCTAAGAGAGGAATATGTTGAACATATTCTTTTCATAGACATTCAAGCTCTTGCAATTCCAGCACCCTTAACTACTATTAAGAAGAAAACCACTGCCTGTCATTTCCATCGTTTAAATTGACATCACTTAGACCAAATTCCTAAACTGGAGCCTCATACCTAATCTAAATGCAGTTTCAACCTCCCCCAGAGATGTAGTGTTAACCTGTCAGTCAGAAGAAACTTTTCGATTAGCGATTAGCACCAGTGAGTCAGACACAAGTGCCCTCTC